AATTCTAAAACTGTAATATTTTATTATAATAGTATAATATTATAATATAAAATACAATGCACATTATACACAATATAATAATATTATATATAACATATAATACTGCACACAATGTTATATATATACATTTTATCTTATATGTTATAGATATATTATTAGCATTATATTATATATAGTAAATATAATTCTTAAAATTATATTATACTATTGTATATTACTATATTATTATGATAATTTAAATATGTATTATAAATGAAAAATATTTATTATATGTATTATTATAATAGTATTAATGCATAGATAATTACTTCATATTTAATTAATAAGTATAATAATTATAATATATAAGATATAATTATATATTATATTATAATTTTAATAACTATTAGAATATATAAATATTTATAGTATATTATTATATAATGTAATATTTATATATAACATATTATATACCTCTCTAATATTATATATAGAATCATAATATAATGTCTAGTATATTTATTATAGTACATATGCTATATAATATATATATTATATTGTTTTATATGCGTAGTATCATATTCTATATCTCTAATACAATATTCTATTTGGCTGTTATAATCTTGTGAAAAAAACCTTGTGAAGAATAATATTTTATATAATCATCTATTTATTTGTTATGTTTAGGAGATGGCTTTGTGCCTCACGTACCTGGTGCTTTGAGAAAAATGTTGAAGCAATCGATACAGAAAACCTGGCAGGACCTCTGGGCTATTTCAGATCACAATATTGTCATTATTATTATTATTATTAATATAATTACTATCACCTGTTATCAGTACAGAGGTAATATCTCAGGTTTCATTGATCTTGTCAGCTCAGCCAGGACTCAGCACCACCAAGTCTGTGATTATGTGACCTGATGTAATACTAATTTTAGAGGTGATGATATGGAACATCAGCTTTCCAGCGATAAGATGATATTAAAATAAATAGGCATTCAAATGAGATTGAGTCATTTATGGCTTTTGCAGATAACAAGAGCACTCATCCATTTTACAGCAATATTTCCTACTGAGAAACGTGAAACTCTTCTGATTATTTCCCGTCTGGTGACTTCAGAGAGGGAAATGCTGCATTTTATATAAATGGAATTATTTAGCAATGATGTAGGTCTGAGAGTCACTGACTCAGAATGTCTCTGGTTTAAGATGCAGATCTGTTATAAGAATTTCAGTAGCACTTCCCAGGGGTTTTTTCCTGCAAAATGCAATTTATTAATATCTGAGCAAATCTCAAGGATTCCGTCAGAATATTTTGTCACGACCTCTATTTCTCCTGTCACAATAAACTTATTCAAATTCAATTACAAATATATACAGTACATACAATTCAGAGTTCAATTATACATATATACAATTACTCATTACAGTTCATGAAACTGATCTGAAGAAATCTGATCACCCATTGCTTTCTGATATTCTCAATCACTCAAGACTGACTTAGTTTTCCACTACAAGTGAAATCACATTACAGCATGTTTAGAGCACCTAACTAAAAAAAAAAAAAAAAAACAAAAAAACAAACCCACACTTAGTCCCATTGCAAAACAATCCTCTGCTTGAACTGTGATTTATTTATGTTTATGTACTTCAGAATAAATACGTTCATTAAATAGAAAGTAACACTGGAAAAAAACCCATATTATTCAGATCTTTATTAAGAGTTTCAGCTGGAAAAAAATATGACCATATTTCAAACTTGAGGAAGGCAAAATGACAATATACTCTACAGTGAAAACTGGTAGACTAAATCTAATGTTACCTATGTTAGAAAAATGTTTTGAATGCTTTAAATTTAAGTTGACAGCCTGAGGTATTTTCTGTTTATTCTGTAACAACCAGTACTTTATTCCCAACTTATTTTTGTGCCAGGACAGACAGGATAATGTTGATAATGGGGACACAAAAGCTATAGGAAGCCTTGGTTTTTTATAGGGTACATGATCCTAATGCATACAGAAAACTGTGGGTTTAGGGATGCTGGGGTTTTTTTTCTATTTTTTTGTTAAACAGCAAGAAAACATCTCAAAACCAGGTAGTCATAGGTCATTATGTCTGCTCAATTGTACATCTAAAAGCAAAGAAATGCCAGATAACTGAGCTGTCTTCTGTCTTGTGTAGTTTTTCTGGCAGAAGGACTTTGAAAATGCCATTAAAGGGCTTTTTGATATCCTCAAGGAAGAGTTGGGTAAACATAAGTCTCATGCCCTTAAATCTCCCACAGACTGATGAAAACTCCCTGCCTTTTTTATTTGCCCATTGATTTTACTGGCCTTACCATGATTTCTGTACAATGATCCCTAAACTGTATGTTCGTAGCCTGTATCTGAAAGCACGCCTGGCGTGGTGAAGTTGCAAATTTGCCTCCAAAATGGTTAACAATTTCTCTTATGAACTTGGAAAACAACAGGTTTTTCTTCTTTCCTGGAGGATTTTCCCAGTGGTGGGGCTCAGACACAGGACAAAGATGCCAGTTTTGATCCCAGAGTCAATAATGTGATTTTGCAATCAGTCCAGAGCCCCAGGGCCCCCTCTGCCTCTCAGGCTGGTGAAGCCTTGCCTTTGGAGCAGGAGGAATTAGAAGGGAGAGTGTTTTTACTTCTTCTGTGTTGTGAGAAGCAAGGAGATAAAAAACTTTTGGAAAAATCCCACTTGGTTGATCACCTATTTAATTTTTTGCATGTTCTTTACTAGCTGGCTGTTGAACTACAAGCTGTTCCCTTGAAGAAACTTCTACCTTCTGCTCACAGAGAGAGTGCTAGATTTGTACTTAAAAACAGGGAAACACAGGGAAGTGAGACAGCTTTGGAATTCTCAGAATGCTGAGTGAGAGGCTCATTTAATACTACCTGTGGCAGGGCTTGTGTATTATCAGTTCAGGACTGTTATGAAGAATGATGGTAATTCTTATTTGTTTGAAAAACCTCACTTTGCTGAGTTTCATCTGGGGTAAATCCTGGGCATAAATCATCAGATCTGACCAGAATTTCATTTCCAGTCTGACATCAATTATCAAAGCACCTTTGCTAAAACATTGCCTCCTGGGAAAATCAAGACGTTCCCATCAAAAAACACCCTATAATATACAGAAAAAAAAAAAAACCAAAAAAAAAAAAACAAAAAAAACGGTTCCAAAAAAAAATACCCAAAAAAACAGTGTCCAGAAATAAATACCCAACCAACAGAAGTAAAAGGGAAATGATGTTAGCATGAGTCACCTGACTGACTCTGTGTCTGGCATAGATCAGGAGTGTTTCTAGAGCTGCCAGGGCATTTATTCAAAGTTAAAATACTGCTTACAGAAGGAGAATGACACACCATTATTTTCTCTGTGTACAGTTCCTGAGGTTTCTGGAACTTGGATTTTTCTTTAATGATTTCCAGGCCTAGATGCATTACTGATGCCTTCTATACTAGATTCTCTTCCATTTCATCTCTTACAGTAGACACACCTTGCCCAGATCTGCTGGCAGTTTCTAATCAGATCTGTGAATGTAAAAAACAATGCCTACATGTGCTGCTCATGGTCTTTAAGCAATAAAATGCAATCAAATCCATCCCCAAAGGCCAGGATGTGAGGAGCTTCCTTTCAGTGAGAATCCAACCCTTTTCCCATCCCATCTGGGGCAGATAGTAAAGGAAAGGTCAGAAAATCATTTAATACAGAGAATCCCTCTCTTTAGCTCTCCATCTGCTACTTTCTCAGATAAAGTGTGGTAGATTTTCTTTATGTCCATTATCTCTATTCCATATCCTAAGGAAGTTTAAAATTAGGGAAGAAATTTTGTTCCCTGGTTTTAGGTTTCTGCACAGCACTGCAGGAAGAAGAGACACCCTCCAGAAAATAAAGCAAAAAGCTTGTGGTGATGGAGAGAAAATCTGCAGTAGGTTCCATCCTATTGCAAAGGTGCTTCCTGAGGGCTGTCAATAAAAAAATCACACTAATAATATTTTTAGACATTTCTTTCTCCTTTTAATAACTGTTGGGATCTTCCTTTAATAAAGCTTCCATCTGGACAAGGCTGCCTATGGAAAGGAGTGAATTTTCAAGTATTCAGCACTGTGTTTCAAGGTTTACTGAAGGAAATTTTTATATATGTGGTACAAATACAGTGGTCCTTTGGATACAAATGCCCTCCCTTCCCTCCACACAAACACCAAAAAAACCCCAAAAAAAACAAAAAACAAAAAAAACCAAAAGACAAACAAACAAAGAAATCAAAGAAACTTAAACACCTATCACTTTATTGCTTCAGTTCAGAGTAATCTTTCTCAAACCCATAACTGAGATATGCTGCAAAAAAATTAATACACCACTTTCTTCATTTGCTCTCCACTTTGACTGTTGAACACGCTTTGCTTCAAAACTTCGTTTACAAACTTCATTTGCTTTCCACTGTGGCTGTTTTTCAGGCCAAACCCCAGAGCTGTGGTGCAGTTTGAGTTCAGAGGGTGCTCACTGACAGCCCTGGGGTCTCACCTGGCCATGGCTGGAACAAGGAGCTCTGCTCATGAGAGGCCATCAGAGAAGCCCAAGTGAATCTTGATTGCCTGTGTGGAGCTGCAGGACTAAATACAGAGCAAGAGGACTTGAAATAAAGTCACTGAAAAAAATGTCAAAGCAGCTTATTGTGGATTTCTTCTTGATTTTTCAATCGTAATTAAATTTATGGCACTTGCAAAATTTTGCCTTGTCCTACTGTTGGTCTAGAAAGGGACTAAGAGCAAGAGGATGGGAGAGTTCCCCAAAATTTTGAACACCTTTTCCCCTTATTGTTGTTTCAGATGAGGAAAGGAAGAAGATAGGGTAAAGCAAATAAAAAGCCAATGTTCAAAGATACTTTTTGAACTCTCAAAATGTAAACTAGTTGTTGAAGTCTGTATTTAGACCCCTTTTGTGCTCAGAAAAACTGGAGCACAGGCAAAGTTACAAAAGACCTTGTTTTTGTTTGGTTTTTTTTACATATAAGTTTCCTCGCTCTCCTCTGAGGTTCTTGAACCAGGAAGAATTTCTCTTTTGTTGGCAGTTTCTGGTTCTTTGCTGGTTGATCTTTCTGCATTTTTAATATCTGCCTTCTCTTTGCCATCTGGTTTGAAGCGTTTCATAATTAAAACAGAGAGCACTATGTACAAGAGACAGCATCCTGCCCGAAGTCCTGCAATGAGGCCAAGATACACATTCCTAGGGGAAAAAAAAGGAGCAAAATACATTTATATTAATAAAACTTTCCAATTCTGTATGGGACCAAGTGAGATATAAAGAGCAGTTTGACAAAACCATCTATTCTCAGCCAGGTATTGCTCCACATTTGAAAATAGGAAATAACAGGCAGAAAGCAAATGACCTTGTGATATTTAGCCCCAGACAGGCTCTAATCAGGTCTCAGACTTGCAGCAGAAGTGTCTGGGGTGTGCTGCCATCCAGCAGACTCTATTTTAGGGCTGACAAGAGGAGCTGCACCAGCTGGGCCTTTTTGCCTGCCATCCCTGTCCTTGCCCTGCTCCTCCCTGGCACACTCGGTGCTCCTGGCCACATTCCCCAGCCACTCGTGCCCTCCCTCCAAGGGGGTTTTGTGAGATCTCTTCCACAACAGGAAACAAAACAAATGAGGGATGAGGGAGAGAATCTGCAGAGCTACACGTGCTCCACAGTCTTTCAGCACCCCTCAAAGCCAAAGTGTCACAGAGTTCCTCAGTGCACTTATTTCATTATTCAGTGCAGAGTACAACAAAAGAACTAATTCTCGTGACTTCAGGCAGCACCCTGCAATTTTAGATGCCAGACTGAATAAAAATGATTTGGTTTATTTACCTATTGAGGTCTAGTCAGAGTAAGGAGCAGTGATGCTGTTAGACCCTAATCAGACAGCTGGCAGGAGGAAATTCCACCTTGTCCTTGCTGCCCAGATTCCCAAAGCCCAGTGAGGATTACCTGAACTCTTTTGTGTCGTACACTCGGCAGGATCCTGATCCCCCACAGCTTTTTGTCCCCCATTTCAAGCAAGTCTCATCTATCAAGGCACCAAAATAAATAGGGGCTGGGAGTCCTCCTGCAAAGAAAATTCTCATTACATGATCTCACACATGCAGATCTCATCATTTAGTGTCATGTACAGAAGTGAGGAAGTGAATCTCCAGGTTTTTGAATTATGCCTGCATAGAATGGGACTAAACATCCAGTTCCAGCCTTGAGATGGCAAGATTTACTTAAGTAAAAGTACTTAAAGGCAGTTAAAACAATGGACTTAAAACAATAGCTTAATAATATCCAGCAAGGGAAATGTTATCCATTCCCTTTAATAGTATTTTTATTGGAAGTTTAACTTCCACTGTTTAAAGAAATAATACAACCAACATTTCTTTTGCAACCCCTGGTGTGGAATTACATGCCATGACATATGAATATTTGTGTATATTGATATGTATATTCAGGCCTTGCCATTAAAAGGTGATTAGTGCAGTGCAAAGGGATGAAATTAAGGCCTTACTGCACAGAAATTGGGTAATAAGTGTACTATTTATGTAGTAATGAAAGAATTTCTTTTAGACACACAATAATGTTTTAATGTCATCAGTATGAGGGAGAGTGTGCAATTTTCTGAAGTTAACTGTCCTGTAAAAGTAGGAGATTGATTCTCTGCAGTGTTCAGCTAAAATATGGAGATTGGAAAAGAGATCCAAATGACCACTTGGGCTTTTCTGCAAGGCAGAAAATCCCAAAAATTTCAAAATCAGCAAACAAGGGAAGATGAGGCAAGGTTCGTTTGAGGCAGGGCAGACTATGTGTCTGAATAATTAAATGATTGTTTATTGCAGATAAATTCAAGAAACAAAATAATAGGCAAAGTACATTGGAGCTTTAAATGAATAATGGTCAGCAAAAGGGGGGGATATGCAGACTGTTGAAGCTGTGTCCACAATTTAAAAAAAATAAGCTCAACAATAAAATGAAATTTGCTTCCTTTGCCTCATTTATTTTCAGTGTAGAAAAAAAATGTGAAGAGATAATCATAATATATAAATACATAATAATAATATTTAAATACCACGTGATCATAATATCTAAATACCAGGAAATCATAATATCTAAATACCAGGAATTATGTAGTAAGCTCTTCCAAACATTTTGAAATGTATGGTCTGTTTACAAAGAAAAATTTTGGAAAATTTATTTTGTTCTTCTCTGGACCAAGGGCACTGCAATGTCTACCTCTAGTCTACCTTTTGGCTTTTGATTACCCACTTGAAAACCCCCAAAGAAATTAAACCTTACCTAGTACTCTACCACCCAAAGTTTCTATCCCAACAGCAAAGGATTTCAGGTCTGGCGAAACAGATCTGGAAAGGAAACAAGACCAGAGTGTTGAGGAAAAGAAAAACGCGTCCACAGCCACGCTGAGAACATCTGCACATGCCCCACTGCAGCAGTGCTTACCCAGCACAGCCCCTGCAACCCTGACTGAAAACATCCAGCAGCTTAAAATTCAGGTGTAGAATCTCCTTCCACAGAAAAACACCCATTGAAATAAATGCAAGAATCTACAGAAACTCACCTTGAACCAAAGGAAAACAGGTTGTGAATACTTTTGGGAGAGGATGCACAGGGACATGAAAGAGAACCCACCAAAAAAGATAGTTCAGGCCCATAAGTTAAGCTCAAGCCTGGCTTTATGAGGGGCTGCACTGTGCAGTGATGGACCAGAAGAACAAGAGTGTGCAGCCCTTGTTGACTTAACCACCTCTGCCTCCAGCATTTTACAGAGACACAGCGAATGTGAGTGACCTGGCTACAAAAACACCTCATTCCTGCCAGTGGAAAGCAGCCTGTGTCCATCAGGTGAGCTGGAGAATTGGCAAAACCCAGAGGGGAGCACCGAGCTGGCACAGGGGCAGGAGGGAGCCTTGCTGTGCCCAGCCTGCCCTGCACTGGAGTTTGTACACCAGTGTGTTGTCTCTTCAGCATCACCACCAAAGGCTTCTCATCACACCAGTTAGAGCTCTGAAAACTGGCCAGCAAGGTGAGCCTTGCCCAAAACTCAGGTGAGCACTGCACTTAGAAATACTGCAGGAGATCAGCAGCTTGGCCAAGTTATTTAGTCGTGTACACGGACCACTGTGATTCACCCGTGGGCAGGAGGATAAAGGCACTTCCACGTGGCAGGCACAAAACATTGTCTTTTCTTCTCAATGTAAAATAGTGGTGCTGCTTTCCAACTGAGGGAATGAAAATTTTAAAAACATTCCTGCTATAATTCTGCTTCTGTCAGCTGACCAAAAAAAATGGGATATCAGACTTCTCCCAACACAGAAGATACTGTGAGGCCACAAGGCTTAACAAAGGTGCCTGTTTTTCTCTGAATAATGTGAACAGCACTGCTTATGGCTTAGCATTGCATCTTATTTCAAGTCCAATGCTCTGGTAAAAATATCCCTATCACTGGAATTGAAACCCAGCATTCAGGATCAGCATAATGCCCCCCCCTTTCATCACCAAGGTATCTACTCAGCATCAAATTAGAATTAAATTTCTGGACAGATATTTTGCTCTGCCTCTGAAAAGAGCTGGATTTCAGAGCACAGACAAATAAATCCTCAGGGGCACAATTTGATCCCCATGCCATTCCTCACAGCAGGAATGAAATAGTAGATATCATTTTCTGTTTCTCTTTCCCCAAGCTTTATGGTCAAGGTAAGGTAAAGTATTTCACCTAAACATAATCATGTATGTAGGAGTGCCTCCTAAGGCTAAAATAAATGCACATGCAGTCTGTAATGCTAAAAAATAGGGAAAGGCTTTGGTACAGCTTTCTCTTTGGCACTGTCCCAAAACTGCAGAGGAATTGCCAAGCCCGAGCCCTTGTCCTTCCACACAGCTGCAATTGTGGAACACCTGAAAGGAGAAGATGACAATAACTTATTTATTCAGAATTCAGGACCAATAAACAACCATTTCATCAGCTAGATTTTTCACTGCCCATACCAGCCAGGCTGTTGTTGATGCTGAAAACCCTTCTGTAATCATCTCTGCAGGTCACTGATATGCTCCAGCCTCTCTGAGCTGCTCCAGAGACACAAAGCAGCTGGAGTTCTAGTTTCAGCCATGCCTCTGCTAGAACACAAGGTGCTCTGTGTGTGCTTAAAGTGGGTAAAAGCTAAAAAAATCAGATGTGAACTGCTACCCAGCCATTCTGCTCAGCTATCCCATGGAGAAGATGCATAACAGCAACAAGAAAAAACAGAGGTGTGGACCAAATATGCACCATGCATATAGATTTTTATGTGCTTAAACAGAATTTGGATTGATAATGGGCTTTGAAGTTAGCAGGACACATGGGTTTGAAGGCCAATTTTCCTGAAATGAAGCCAGAATATTGATGGGATGTTTAAATACAAGCCTGATAATGCTGCTAGTCTTTTTCAGTATTGTCAGTGCAGACAATTCTGCTTCTGCCAGAAGATATAAGCATTTGCACACTCTTCTGCAAACATAGTGCTTTCAGGAATATTTACCATATTCCTTCCTGTCCCAGATGATGATTTGCACCCTGCAAAGCAGGCTGTCATGTATGTGATCCCATTGTCCCCACAGACAGGGTCCCACTGGTCCACCTTGCAGCTGCACTCAGCATTGCAGCTGGCTGTGTAGATGTGCTTGCTGGAGGAAAGGTGCTTCATTCTGCAGGACAACAGGAGAAATTATGGAATTATTTAGTGGAACTTTACAGTAAAAAAAAAGAAAAGAAAATAAAATAATATATATATATATAAAATATATATTAATTAAATATATATTTTATATATTATAATATATAAATATATTATAAAATATTATATATATTTATATATTTATATATTAAATAAATATACATAAGTATATAAATATTATATAAATATATTAAATATATATTATATATATACATGGAAAAAGTGAAGTGATCAAAATGGGCAGATATCTGCACTGTGAAGTTGTCAAATGGACACCATGATAATTTCAGCTAAAGCAAAGTTCTCTTGGGATTTTAATCAAGCAATAACATTTCTTTGGGTTGCCTCTGAGAAGGCATGGAAATTAAAATGCTGGGTGGAAATATGTGGTATTAGTTTTGCATTTGAAAGCTCACCCCGAGAAAAGGAAAATCATAGCTAGAATCTCTTATCACTGAGACATGACCCAAGGGAAAACCATAATTTTGGTATGGTATCCTATCATACCATATCCAGATGATAGAGGTAGGATACAAAAGTTTTAAAAAAGTACATAAAACCAAAACAGCAATTGACTTTTTTTCTCTGGATCCAGGCCACTGTATCAGGACACTCTGAGCACATGTCAGCAGTGCTCAGTTTCCTAAAAATCATCCTTGCTGTGAGCTCAAATGCAAGGTGAAAATGTTCAAAACTTGCCTTTTCTTCCTCCTTCTCCCTTCCCTCAGCCAAGAGCACACATTATGTGGGCTACATGTCCCCAGAGTCTCTTAGTAGGGAAGATAACTGAGGGATTTAGCCCTCATTAGGCTGTTGTCTTCAAAATATAAATTGTTAAATAGGTAAAACACTAAATGGGTCACTTAGCCAGAAACAACTCTGGCATGTACCAAATTCTCCAGACTCAGTTCTCCTGGAGAAACTGTAGATGCTCTTTCAATATATCAACATATGCTCTCTTGCTGTTGATGCTTATTTTTTATTCACTCTGTGGCATCCGAGGTTGCACTCAACCAGTTTATAAAATCAAAATCTAGGATTTTTTTCTGTGCACCACCCCAAAGAAGCAGCTGTGCCAAATGTGACAAACCACCCTGTATCAATGTATGTGAACAACTCAGCCTCAGTGTGCACCAGCCACAGCATTTGTATCTGTTCTTATCAGAATTTTCTCAGGGCACTATAGAATTCATCCAAGGTACTAAAACATAAACTGTGCTAAAATAAGAATGAAGAAGCTGAGAAACCAAATACCAAAATCACAAGGACTAAGTAACAAAATACTATGAAACACCTGAACTGTGACCAATCACAAATGCTAAGAAATGGAAACGAAAAAAGTCAAAAAGTATATACTTTATATATATATATATATAATATATATATATATACACACACACAAAATATATATATATATATAAAAGTTTTCACATTTAATAAGATTTATCAAATACATTTCCCAAAAAAAAACATTTTACAACAGGATTGATAGCCACATTTTCTTAATTATTAGCACCATCCCCAGCTCCAGGCATGACTTCAGACTGCCAATTCTGTCTCAAAATCTAGGATTTTTTTCTGTGGCCCACCCCAAGGAAGCAGCTGAGCCCCGTGAGCGGGGCAGCCCCAGGGGAGGGGTACAAACCCAGCGTAGGGCGCCGTCAGCCCGGCCACCTGCAGCACCTCACAGCTGCAGGTGAAGTACAAGAGGTTCAGCAGATACGCCACGATGAAGGTGATGCACGCAAACTTGGCCATTTCTGTTATGTGCAGCTTGAATTTCTTGATCAGGAAGCCTCCTAGAAACATGCCCAGGATTGTGACAGGTAGAAGTACCACACCTGCAAAGAGACAGTAAGAAAAATGTTAAGTGCTCTCACTTGCACTGACTATTTTAGAATAAATTTGTAAAATAAATAGGTATATTTTATTCTATTTCTAGAATAGGTTCAGATACTTATTTTTGGGCTGATTCTTTGAAGTTCTAAGATTTTTATTGCCTTCTAGTAATTTTACATCCCCATTTTCTTTTGCAAATCATGTTATGACTCTAGAAAGCTCAACTCCTCAAAATTCATTTTTTACTATATTGCATTTAGATATAACAAAACCTGTACAGGTGCCTGTTAGAAACTGGAGTAAATGATAATGTCTTAGCTCACATGCACTTCATATAAAAGAAAACATAAGACTTTATGTAAGCCACAAAGAAGTTTCCAAAATGGAACATAAAAGGAAGTTGAAGTTCTGCTCTGCATTCAGTTTTGATCTGAGAGTGAATAATGAGATGATTTGCATTTAGATTTAATCTGCTCAGTATTTCACAAACACCCCTTTCTTGCTAAACAGAGGGGTTTGGCAAGGTGTTATTGGCAGGGGTTGGCCTTTCTCTGGTTTTACTATTGGTTGGTTTTCTTGGTCGTTTTTGTAACACGTTCTCAGCATTCAGGAAAAAAGAAAATATAGGAAAAAGAAAGTTCTTCCCACATTTGTAGCTGACTAAGGCATTGTGTCTTCAGGTTAAAGTAATTCAATATCAGCTCTGCAATGACCTCACATACCCTGTTTTCCTTCCAGATTATGAGAACGTATCAATCACTGTAAGATTAATATAACTTCAGCATTCTTTTTTTTTTTTTTGTAGAACACTACAAAGTACTTATTTCTGAAGGAACTGAAAAACTGAAATACAGTTTTAAAATTAATGAAGTGACTCAAACTTTTATGTTTTGGTTTCTTATTGCTTATAAAATTTGGATTTGTAATCAAAATGACATTTATACCAATATGTCGTTCTGAAAACAAACCCCCACCCATTTCATTAAACAGTTTAACATTTTTTTCTATTAGTTTTTACTTAGCTGCAGCTGATATCTGATGTGTGGTTTTCACTCATGAAAACAGACACAGCCCAAATCTCACTATGAAAAAAACTTCCACCCAGTTTTAGTAATCCTCTAGAGCACTGAATTAGGAGCACTAGGAAAATTAACACTAAAATTAACATCCATTTTCAAAATACAGTAAGAAAATTAGGAAACCACTACATGCTTTCCTTTTAACAAAAAAAAAAAGTTCACATAAGCTCCTTCTAAAACAGAAGTCGAGATAACAAATAAAAGCTTCCTTTTTGACACTGGAATTTGAAAAGAAGTCAGGTACCTACCAATTAGAAAGATGGCTTTTGCCACTGACACATTAAATGTCTGCTCCATAAACTTTGTCTCATAGGTTATTATCCCAACAAGGGAATTGTACTGCAGAATAGTGAGGAAGATGAACACCACAAAAATTGGGTTTCCAAACAGCTTCCTGAGTGCTGGCAAGAAATCTGCAACAGAGAGGCAAATACTGTACACCCTGCTAAACACAGAGAGGACTTGTTTTGGCATCTTTAGAGAGTGAAATTAACTTTGGTTTAATTGCTGGCTGCGTTGCAGGCTATAATTCTGTGCTTATCACAGCACACGATTGCTCAGGTGAGAGTTCTCATTGCCAACACGACAGGAGGAGCAGCCCAGCGGATGCTGAGCTGGGAATCAGGATCCTGGATTATCACAGGGCTCCTCAGGCTCACAGCACACCTCCTCAGCGCCTGCACTGAGCATTGACACCCTCCATCAAGAGTAAAATGTGGTTCCCAAAGCAGGAGCCTTCACCAGCCACACAAGGACCCCACAAGAGGGTGATGTTTAGAGAACAGAAGCACCTGGCCCCAAAAAAAGAAATAATTTCTGGAACCCTTGGTTAGAATATTAAAATCCATTAAAATAAAGTGGACATAAACACCTGCATTTAGACTGTAGTCTGGCTCTGGCACAGCTGCCTAAAAGGTGAGAGTTCAAAACACATCTGCTGTAGGTGTGCACATATATACAAACAAACCTTGGGTCTAGTAATAGAAATATAAAATTAAAAGCAATAGCTGGTTGGATCTGGTGTTTCCTATATGAGATGAATTCAGCATCCCTGAGCTCAAACACAGGAGCTACAAATCCAGTGGAGTCCCTCCAACATCTGAGGTAGCCATAACAAGCTCCATGTTTCCTTGCCAAACACTTGCCAGTCCTGACCTGCCCACTATGGATTGCTCATTAATGAGGGACAGGATGTTTTCCCCACTCTCTCTCCATAACCATGGGATTTTAGCTGTAATCCCACCACACAACTACAAACTGAGCATCTCTGGAGCTCCGAGAAACAGCACAAGTTTTTCCCAGCTGTCTGACATCAGGAGAGGACTGAAACTCTCCCTTAACATGTAATTAAAATAGCACAAATTAATGACATTTTTGTTGGTAGTTTGCACTGCAGAAACCTGCATTTTGCTGAAGGCTGTGTGAGTCCATGCTCAGCTCACAACGAATCCATGAGACAGAATTCATATGCAAATATTTGAGCAATAATATTTCACCTTTTACTGCCTCTGAGAACTTTAATTGTGGCTGAGCTGGGGTGTCTATTTTACAGGGATCTCCTTGAACAGACAAGTGACTAATCTTCAAGTTTTCATTCTGTCCTTCTTTTGGTAAGGAATAGGGCAAAAACCAGAAAGGCAATGAAGCAATGAAGTTGACAGCACCACAGATAAGCAATCCAAGCCACCAGGCACCAACCCAACGGGTGTCCTTAGGATTTATGCTGATGGCATCTATAAAATACAGAAAGACAGGAAAATAGGGTAAACATTATGCAGAGCAATTATTATAGATTATTATACATTACTGTATATCCTCATATATATAATTTAAAAAATAGAACAGAGGTCATCTATATCCCATAAGAAGAATGAAATGCAGCTTGTTTCAAATAATAGAATCATGGAATAGTTTATGTTGGAAGGGACCTTTAAGATCATCTTGTCCCACCCCCTACCTTGGGCAGGGACACTTCCACTGTCCCAGGTTGCTCAGAGCCCTTCCAACCTGGCCTTGGACACTCCCAGGGATGGGGCAGCCACAGCTGCTCTGGATAAGTTGTGAGTGATCCCTCCCTGAAGGGAATCAGTCCCATGCAGTCAAAAATAAATATGTGCATTTAAGCCCACAATGGCATTTCTTTGCCACAATCCTCCAATATTATCTGGGGGAATGAGCAAAAGGACCTTTACCACAAAAAAAAAACCTCCTTCCCTTTCTCAATTTCCCAGAGTGCCCTCCTTCTCCATCCCCAAACTCTACAGTTTTTCCTCAATTTTTCCCTGGGATTAGAGACTTTTAAGTTTGGACAACAGATTTGAACAACAACATGAATTTTGAGATGAATCCTTGCTGCATGCTTTTTAAGAGAACACACTTTCTGCTAAGTGTTGAAAGTGCCCACGAGCCTTTCCCTGTTCCCTCAACACAGGGATGGCCTTTTATTCAACCAATCCTTTGTCCTCAGCCGCACAGCAAGGGCGTAACAAGTGTGTGTGCGAGCATTAAAAAAAAACAGTGGGGGTTTTTCAAGGCCTATTCCAACCGCGCTACAACACCAGGTTTTAAAACCTCGATTTTTGAGCAGGAAAAGCTCTCCAGAGATCCCCTGTTTTTTTGGGGGCAGAGAGCTGGGAAGGTGCTTCTTGGCACGGAGGTTGCTCCACCCAGACAGCTTCTGTCTGGCCGTGCCACCCCACGGCGGTGGCCGTGGTCCCTCACCGGTGTCCACGACGCCGACGTCCACCCAGAGGCTGGCACAGAAGGAGCCCAGCAGGAAGCCCAGCGTTGGCCCAAACATGCCCGAGGATCTCACCAGGCCTGCAGGAGAAGGGAGACTGAGCAAAAAACTGCATGGCCGAGGCAAGCCTTCCTCTGTGAGGGCGAGGGAAGGAGAGAGGAAGGAGCAGGCCGTTACGGAATGTCCTGAGGGGCAAGCTGCCCTCACCACAGCTGTGGTGGAGATCAGAAGGTGGGATACCCCTAGGAGCAAATGAATAAACTGTGAAAGCTGCCAGAAATCCACACTGCTGACTGGATGTGTAAATAAAGCACAATTTGATTTTTGGTGTACCGCTGGTGGCAATCGACATAAAATGTCTTCTAAATAATTCAAGCATAGGTTCTCACACTCCCTCGCCCCTTTGTGCTGTTGTGTTGAAATTTAGTTGTGAGCAGGTGACAGGATCAAACTACAGCTCAGTAATTTGGAGTCCTGAATTCTAGAGCAGAAGTGACACCTTGAAGTTGCAGAAGGCTTCATCCCGTTAGAAATGAAGGAATTCTTTACCAAATGCCTGTAAGTCCTTGCCCACATCCAGCACTATGCTCTGTAAATCCTGCTGTGTTCTACTGCAGAGATTTTCCTCCTGAGAGAGTTGGTTTTGCAAACTCTCTTCTGAATGTAGTGATTGCTCAGTTTATCACCCGGAACTTCTGTAATAAATTGTTACATCTTAACAAATATGCTAAATTTTCTGTTCCTTCCCATGGCAACTCTAATATTATTGCTGTCACCACAAGTCTACCAAAATTATTTTAGTTCATTCTATTAAGAAAATGCTGTCTCTGCCTCAAAATAACTTATGTTCTTACTCAACAAAACATTAAAGGGCAAAAGAAAAAGGAGAGACAAAGCCGAGACTTCTTGTTCAGGGTAAAACAACGAGATTAATGCTCAAAATTCATCAGCAAGACTTGACTGACTTTTTTTATTACAGGACAATTTTTTTTTTGTTGTTTGTATTTTACAAAAACACTGAGTATAAATTGATTCAGCCAGATGATGAAAAATAAGATATAGAAAAGAATTAAAGTTAGCCAAGAAAAGAAAGTTCTGTTCTATGGAAAGACTGTTTCAACTTTCACTTTGTTTACAAAGTGATTCAGTCCACCAAAATGCAATGAGTGACTGAAAACTGCTATTCTGAATGTAAAAATGAAATATATTAATAAACTGTAAACTAAATACTTTATTTCTGTGGTGTAAATGAATTTCCATTTTGGTTGTATCCATGTTTACATTATCTTTTTGATCTCCCTTGCCCAGTAGTCCCCATCCTGTCTCAATCTCTCCCACATTAAATTCTGACAAGGAAAATATTCAGCTAAACTTTTTAAAACACCTTTAATCAGAAGGCAATTACAAATATTTTGGATAACTGCTGAGTGGATTGCCTGTTTTTGACAGCTAACTCCACAACACTTCCATTTTCTTCAACCTGCACATTTCCTCATTCCCAAATGAAGACATTGGCTACGGCCTTACCCTGTAGCATCACATGCTGAGCTCTTCCTGTGTCCCACTGTCTTTCTGACCAGCTCAGTTTCACCAAATTGACTTCAGGTCACACAAACACCCCCTGCTGCCAAATCAGTTTGCCAACAAATTAATTATCTTGGGTGTAAGTCTCTCTGTCTTGGGCAATAGGTTATGAGCCGTCAAAACAAGATCAAAGCCCCAATTAGAAAGGATTTGTTACAACACCCTGGAGAGGTGTTGTTTTTCCTTCAGCAAAGAGTGACTTTAAAAGGTTTTAACTGGAAATTGTATTTTTTAAATTTTAATACAAATTATTTTTTGTATTTCACATGCAGTGTGCTGCATGTGAAATACAAAAAGTCAGGTAAGAGCTCCTGGAACACATTGACATTGCTGTAATTAATTGTGACTTCATTAGAGATCCTCACATTAAGGATCATTCCCTTATCTGTGAAATAGTGATTAGGGAGAATTTGGTTCTCTGAAGGTGTGGTACCAAAGTTGATATGCCAGATATGACTTTGCACTTTGGGAAAATGAGTATTTGATTATGCTTCTCTTCATCACAGAAGCTCCTCTGGGACAACAAAAAGACCATCCTGGAATTATCCATAGAAAATAAATATGGGACCTCTTTTGCACTGCTTGGGGCTTTTTTTGTCTCTGTACAGCTCAAAGTTACCCAGATAATTTCTTTTGTTGAGTATTTGCTTGACTATAGAAATGTTAAAGAACAGAATGTCTAGCCTAAAAATCACTAATTTGTACATTACCTATGTAAAATGCTGAGTTTTCTTCTTTAGAAAAATCATCAATGTATGAAACTCCCAGAGGCATAATTGGTGCTTCCCCAATTCCACGTAGAAGGTTCCCCACCAACACAAAAAGCCACAGGTAGGAATTTGTTGTTTTCTCACATCCTGCAGGCCATAAACATTTATACTCCTGTGAACATAATTCTGACAACGCTTTACAGCAGCAGTAAAATAACATAAAATATGGGGATTAACAATCATTATAGGGTGGGTTTAATATATAAATAATAATATTGTGGTCTCTAGCAGGGGTTTTACTGCTTTCCAGTAAAAAAGGGTGTCCAAAAGGGACAAGCAGAAGAGAATCCAACATCAGGGTTTTATCTTACCAGCATTTATCTCTGTGCTGAGTGTTTCTGTAGCATCTGTGGTTGGAGGGCCCCCAGACCCTGGGGAGCAAGCTGACACACTCGTGGAGGAGTTGTCCACACTAACAGTTATCCTTTCATAATTGTAACTGGAAAACAACTGTGTGAAACACAACTGACACATGAAGGACTTTGCTCTGCAGGAAGCGTGGCTGAGCCCTGTGCTCACACGTGTTTATTCCTGTCTCACACTCAGAGTGGAGGGGAGGCCCTTTCCCAGGGCTTGGCTTAAAATAAAATGGGTTTCTTCATGCCATTTTCAAATGCTCTGATGATTCTAACCCAAATATTTTCTGGAGATAAAGAACAACTAATCTTCTCCCAGAGATGATTCTTTAGACTGCAGGACAGAGGAAGAGCTCATCCACATCTGTGTTTTGGCACCTCTGTCTTACCTTTGTGGCAAATGCAAGGATACCAAAGGTATCACCTGCATCTGACAATTATGTGTTAGAGCTTAAATGTGAATGGGGTATTTAGATATTTAATTCTCCCCAAGTTTAGATTAAAATCTTCAGCATTTTAAAGAGTTTATCATGAGTAGCCACCATGGAGAAAGAAACCTTTTCCACCAAGATCTAATTACAGTTCACTTATATAAAAAAAGAAACACAGTTAAGAATATATATATTTGTATTATTTATATTTATAACATTTATAGTTATATTTATTTTATATTTATATCAATATTTATATCAATATTTATATTTATATTTATATTTATATTTATATTTATATTTATATTTATATTTATATTTATATTTATATTTATATTTATATCCATCCCAGGTGAAAAATTCAACCCACTTTATCCTCTACTTATAAGTTCTGTAGAAATCTGAGGTTTCTCTCCTGCTTACCTGTAGCAAGAGCTAAGCTTTCAGAGAGGAAATCACAAAGCCAATATTTAAAAATCCAATATTTAAAAATGTTGGACTAGCTGGAAGAAACTACTACTGCCAAGCTTTTAACTCAGGTCTATGCTTGAAAAACCACTTTGTATGATCAAGTTCCATAAGTGCATAACATGAAAATCTCCATATTTACCGTCCCATTAGGAACTGAGGCATCACTGACAAAAAAGCTCCTACAGACATGATGAGACACCCAACAGCAATTATTTTTGGCCTGTGAACTCTTGGTCCAAGGTAGCTCACCAACACCATCACCATTAAGTTACCTGCATCAACAGGAGAGAGGGCAAGCACAAAAAAATAGGTTTTTTGGGAGTGAAAGTGTACTAAAAAGCACTTATCCACTTTCAAAATACATATACCTATCTCAAAGCTGCCATCAATAATGCCAACAATCGATGATGAGATTTCAAATCTCCTTTCAATTTGACTGGACATGCTCTTCATGTAGCTCCCAGAAAATCCTTTGGCAAAAAAGGAAAAAGCTAGAGCTCCAAGAAATATCTGAAGAGAGAAAATAATTGAGTTTGCAAAGTAACATTTTTTGATTTATGGCTGGATGCCTGAGCAACCCACTCAAGAAGCACAAAAATCATATGCTTTGCTTTCTAATTCTTTGTGAGGAGAATCTTCCTCCTGTTATCATTAAAACAGAATTTACTTTCTTTATCGGGGTGGCCTCAATTTTACTTCAAAGAGAACGAAAGTTGACATTGGTGGTATGCACCTTCTAACTTTCTAGTACATATTGGTCCAGATGTTTCCTTCCTTAGGGAAAATCTTGCAGCATAATGTTGCTTATTTCTGGCACCTATATCACATACTCATATCTGGTACTTATACCTTATCACCTCTCCTTCTCCTGTTCTAAAACACATGAATAAAAAGATATATCTGCAACTACCACTGTGACTATAGCACACCTCTAAATTAATTGTTAGTAAAATATGACCTCATTTTTCGTTTTTCAACTTCTGAGCACATTTATTGACTTCTGTGTGCTTGGAATCACAACCATAGAATAAGAATGGTTTGGGTTGGAAGGGACCTTAAAGATCATCTTGTCCTACAGCCAGCCATGGGCAGAGACAGCTTCCACCAGACCAGGTTGCTCAGAGCCCCATCCAACCTGGCCTTGGACTCTTCCAGGGATGGGGCATCCACAGATTCTGTGGGCAGCCTGTGCCAGGGCCTCACCACCCTCACCATGAAGATTTTCTCCCTAATATCCCATCTAAACCCACTCTCTGTCGGTTTGAAGCCATTCTCCCTTGTCAATATTCTCTCTTCATCTTTCTTGTTGGTTCTTTCAGGTCCTGGAAGGCCACAAGGATGTGAGCCCTGAGCCTTCTCTTCTCCACTCTCAATTCTCCAGCTTTTCCTCCCTGCAGAGCTGCTCCATCCCTCCGTGTCCCTCCTCTGGGCTGGCTCCAGCAGCTCCATTCCTTCCTGTGCTGGGATCCCAGAGCTGGAGGCAGCCCTGCAGGTGGAGTTTCAGCAGAGCAGGGCAGAATCCCCTCCCTCCCCTATCCGCCCAAATCCCTTCCATCCCCCTATGGATGAAGCCCAGACCATTTTTCCCACACACACAGCACCAAGCAGTGCCATACATAACTAACTGAATTTTGATAGGACTTCAAATGGCAATTCAGTGTTCCAGAGAAAGTATGTGGTGAGGGCTCTTCCCTACCTTTAGCTTTGAACAATTATGGCACACGGTCTTGGCAGGAGCTGCGCTGCCATCAGCGTCCTGGAACAGTGATTTTTCTTTCAGCTGGCCAGGAGTGATTGGTCTGTCCATGGTTTTCCTTCTCCAGGTCTGAAATGTTTCCTGTTTGAAAAATATTGCTAAGTTTAACTATTGTTGCCATAAGAATTGCATGTTCCAATGTTTTTCAGACATACTCAGTGGTGAGACACTGCTTGAGATATCTGCACATTGACATCTTTTCTCATCATTAAAGAGTGCTCAAAGTAACGACTGGAATTAATTAAGGACTGCTGCACCTGATTTGTGAAATCTGCTTTCTAAAAGGCTCCAGGACTTTCTTGGACAGATGGAAAAGTTATGGATAACTCACTGCAGATTTTTAGAAATCTTTGTGGAAAAAGGAAGTCCCCAGGCAGCTGATCTTGGGGACAGTTTGTCAGAAAAACATCTTCACCACACTTGTGCCAATCCTTTCTGAGATATCCATTTTTGATCACTGTTCCAGACTAAGGTGTGACCCAGTAGACTTCTGCTATTATATTTCTAAGGATTTTCTTAGTGAATACTGCCATTCTGCTAGCATTTGAATGAGTAACATAATTTATTGGATAAATCTTTGTAGAATCAGACCACAAATGATGACAGAGGAGAAAATAGGGTGAGCAGTATGATAGGTGAAGATGCATTAAGGGGAAAGAGAGCACTGATTAAAAGAAACAAATAATGACTATCTGTAAGCCCACAAGCCTTCACAAGCTCCTGCAGAACAGATGATAAATGTAGATATTTTAAAAAGACTGATAAAGTTTTAAAAGTTGGTTCTGATTCAAGGAGTCATATTAGCTATGTTAAAAGCAGCTAATACTGAGACATCTGGAATGATAATAACTAAAAAAAAAAATATTTCCAAGCTTGTCTGTTGGAAAACTGGTGCAATAGTACCAAAATCAACCAGTCAGATCCTATATACACATTTGCGCATATATTAAAGGAGTATAGAGGAATATATATCAAGAAATTGGCCTGTATAATTTTCCCCCCAAGACACTGGAATCTCAAACATGCCACGCTGTTTCAGTCACATGGGAACTTTCCAGGTCTCCCTCCTGAAGGACCTGAGGCCAGCTGACCCAGGAGTGGAGCCCACACACAGGGACGTGGCAGGATCCCGGGATAACGCACAGGGACGTGGCAGGGTCCCGGGATAACCCACAAACATCACCAGGTTCCTCTGAGGAGTTCATCTCTCCCAAGCAAGATGCCCAGGGCTACCTGGGTTCCCTGGGAAATGCCTACCTATGCCAGAAGGGACAACATGCTCAGAAACCCAGCAATCCCCCAGATGTTATTCCTAACCACTGAAAATAGGCACTAATGTCTCATAAGGAGATATAAAGCCTCACAAGGACTCTAACTTGATTTTTGTAAATTTTAGTTCCAAATCCTACTCCGGTAGGAGGGGATTGTGCAAAGCAAACATGTATATTTCAGACAAAGCCCCATACGAAATTTCTAAAGGGACGTAATCTTCCTTAGACCATCTTCAGCAACTTCTAAATAAAATAAAAAAAAAAATCGAAAGTAAGCTATAGATAATTAAAGTATGGTGAAGTCAGACTTACCCCAGTCTTTATAGGATAGGAGCTGAAAGACAGAGTTCTCTAAAGCAAATACATTCTTTATTGATTTGTATTTTGCTGATGATTAACTTTGTGCAACATCTGACTCTGGTAAATAAACAGGATCTCAATCAGTGACGTGGTTTTCTTTTCAATATATCAAATTTTAAATATAAAATGTTGTTTATAGTGACAGACTAATAATCTACCTGAAACTCACAGAAAATGTTAAATTGTAGAAATACTTCTCTTACCTAATCAAACTGTACCTAATTGTGCAATTACATTTTCTATAACCACTCCATGAGAATCTGAACTTTGGTAAGCCAGTGAATCATTGACACCAGTGGTATTTAAAATTAAGCAAGAAAAATTATAAAAGATTTAATTTATGAATTAGAGGTAATGGATAGTTTTTCTACAGAGGGATAAAATACCCTGCTCCCAACAGGAGCGACAGCACTTAATCCTTTAAAAAAAAAAATTGAATTTGCAAAATTGTACCTTTGCACTTTACATAAATCTTTCAAGTTGAGCGACAACGAGATGTGCAGAAAGGCTGCACCGGGAGCTCACAAGTGAACAAACAAACAGAGTAACTCCAAATGGAAGGGAGCAGGGAGGGAGGGACAGGGAGAGCACTCACTTACTGTGTGTCAGAGCGGTGTCAGGCTGTTCCTCTGCCGTGCCCCAGGCTCCAGGCTGGGAGCCAGCGCAGCGTCACGGCCAAAGCTGTGACACAGCCTGCTCCCAGAAGTGGAGCACCTCACCACATGGGTCTTAAACCTTGGATTTCCTTCTTATGGTGATTGCAAAACTTCCCCCAGTCAGCGGTACCGGAGCAGTGCAGAAGGAGGCAGGTCTGCTGCTGTCCCTGCTTTGGCAGCCTACCTGCCCGCAGTGCCAGCCTCTCCCGGGTGGAACAACTTGTTTTCTTCACTCTTTCTTTCTTTCTTTTTTTTTTTTTTCTTCCCTGATGTCTAAACATTGGAGACCCATCAAGCACCTCTCCAAGGGAACTCCCCACCATCCACCCAACAAGCATGGAGTGGCTCAGCTCAGGCGCAAGAGCCCTGGGAGCTCAGGCTCAGCTTTTCCAAACACCTGCAGCCTCCCAGCTTTCTCTCCTTGGTGCCTTGGAGGAGGGTCACAGGGACACCAAGGGATGGCTGAGCTCCTGGGAGGGCATGAACAGCTCATGGACATCTGCCAGTTTTGGGTTTGAGCCCTCTGTGCCCCAACCCCGATGCACAGGTTTGCATGCAGAGCATTGATTATCTTCTTCTGTACAAAAGTACACTAAGAGATTTGCTAAAGACTAAATGAACTCAATTATTTGTGAGTTATGGAATTGTGGAATCACAGCATTTAGTCAGAACTAAAAAAAAAAACCTTATGAACGCTATAAAAAAAGTTATAAACTTGCTAAGTACATAAATATGCAAGCTCTCCCTCATTGCCCTCTGAAGCTTGCAGGTTAACTGCAGGCAGTCATTTTATCTGCCATATTTGCACTTGTTATTGGATTTTGCTTGATAGAATTTTACACATTTTACTGTGATCATTAAATATAATATATTATATATTTACTATATAATATTATATATTATATGCTATATAATATTATATATTATATAATATATAATATATAATGTATAATATATAATATATAATATATAATATAGTATATAGTATATACTATATAGTATAATATAAAATTATGTATAATATGTATATTATATATATAATATATAATACATATAGTATGTATATAATACATATAATATATATATACACACACATATATATACACACACACATATATATAATATATAATGTATAATATATAATGTATAATATATAATATATAATATAAAAATATATATAATATATATAATATATAATACTTATAGTATGTATATAATACATATACTATAAATATATATACACACATATATACACATATATATAATGTATAATGTATAATATATAATATATAATATATAATATAAAAATATAT